TTTTATCATTTCTTGTGGAGGGATCCAAGCCCATTGCGTAACGAAGTTCCTTTTGTTTACCTGCAGTCAATGCCTACATCCTGTTGAGAAGAGGAACTGCTTAAGGGTGATGACGACGAAGTTGTAACCACACCAGGAGTGCGAGCTTGGAAATTCTCGATGTGACTCAGAACCGGATGTGTACTTGTAGTGCTCCCAACTATGGCCTGACTCACTGAACCTTCAAAATTGAAAGTAGGTAAAATTATTGAACAACCAAAGCATCAAACAAAAATTTCTTAAAAAAAGAACAAAACTGGACCAATAGTTTTGAAGTCAGCGAACTATACATTAGAGAACATTACTAGTTCTGTAACAGATGATATAAGAGCCACAAAAAGTCACTTCCATGCACATCTTTCATATGTTTTCTTTGTACCGTTGGGTCGGAGCCGACTTCTGGTAACATTACAAACAAGATCCCTCTGTTCATATGTTTCCTAGGCAAATAATCCAGAAGTGTTTTGCCGTTGCCTTCTTCCGTGTGCTTAGTATCAAATGATGATGAAAATGGAGAAACCGGGGAAGTCCCGGAGGAAGACTCCGTGATACCTGTACCATGGCCTTGCCCAACACAAGTTATAAATCCGGGCACCATCAGGAATCGAACCCAGGACCCCCCCCCCCCGGATTACAAGTCCAGCGTTCTGACCGCTAGACCACCATGCTTTACAAATATAGCACAAATCTTATGCAATATATTTTCCCAACACCTCAAACACTTCTGCTTATTGTGCCATCTCCGAACGAAGGTTGGCGAACATTGTCCTCGAGACTGCCGCTCGAAAGATGTCTATTGAGGTGCATCCGCACCATCTTCTTAGGTCTTTCATCCAGGAGTTTTGGGGTCTACCGACGGATCTTTTTCCTTGGATTTTGCCCTCGATGATCAGTCTTAAGATCTCATAGTGTACTCCTCTCATGTTTTCTTTCTTTCCTTAACGGCAAGCAGTAGTTTCTCAAACACTACACTATAATTATTACCACTGACTCCAACTCATCACATTCCCACACAACAAATCATGACTGAAAGGCACCAAGAAGAAAACTGGTAGAAACGTGACGGGTCCGAGACAGATAAAACTCAAACGTCTGTGCGTACAGCAACGTGTAAAGCAGTCCATAAACCAAATAACACAGAGACAGGAGAAAAGCAAAAGAGAAATACTACTCGGTATTTCACCAAGATGTTACTGAGGTGACGATGTTTTTCTTCTGGGTTGCAACACCATGCAGCCTTACAGGTATGTAAAAATGCTTGAGAGTAACATACTGTCTCCATCTTCAGGGCTGAAGATTAAGACAGTAAATTTATCTGAAAACCTGGTATCTACCTACGGATCTACACATCATCGAAACGCACAATGATACCGTAATCCTCACTGCCGTTAGAACCTCAAACCTCACAAGATGTTACTATTTCAGGAACAGACGAAGGACACTGAGAGACTGACTCTGAGGTGGAAAAGACATACCACAGGAGTCCAGCTGCAGGTGCTGAGTCGGTGAACTGGATAGAACGGTCGTAGACACAGTATTGGTGAAAGCACTGGTGCTGTGTTGTTGCAACAGCTGGTGGAGTGGGGACGCCCCTCTACTGCTGCTGTTCTTGGTGTTGTTCGTGGTAGGCGTGTTCGAATCTGCCTCTCCCACACCAGTGCCGCTGGAGTTTGGACAGGCATGCTGCAACCTGAACAACACACGGGTCACTTGCCCTGCTTAGTCGTCACTGTGGTCAGAAGCCGATTTTATGCATGATGCGCCATTTGGCAAGTTCGGTGACTGAAGTGCAAACTATCACAACTGACCTCTGTTTCTTCTACCTTTTCTCTCAGTATTACTGGAGAATCATGATACACTGTGTACAGCGTGTAAGAAGAAAAAGATGCACCAAAATTTTTGTTTTCAGTTCACCGAAATTTAGATTCTGCTAATCTTAAACATAGAACATGTACAGGTCTTATATGAGAATATATTATTCTACATGGCATTTAAGGGATAATCAGTTTTACGCTGTTTCTTACCCCTTCTCATGAAATGAAATCTTTGATATGGTCTCGGCAGAATTTCTGTTAAAACAATTTAAGCCCGTCCAAACCTAAAATCTCATATGTGACAATATATTCATTTTTCATGCATTCTTCGTATTAATATGTAATTGTAATAAACTCCACACCATTTACAATGGTTTAATTAAAAACTAAAATAATAGCAACGTAGCACTTCGAAAGAAGAAACTCATGAGGGACAAAATGCCTGATGGACAACCTTTCAATTATGCAAACATTTTATGTAAATGAGCTTAAAATATACAGTATTTATGCATATATAGAAATAGAAAAAAAAATGTATTGTCCTGAAAACCTGAAAAATATCAAAGTAGTTGTGCCCTTTTGACAGTGTGGATCCAGCACTTTGTAGGTTAACGCAATGAACAAACACAGCAACTATATTGAAGTAACTTCAACGAGGAACTACGTGGCAACCATGAGATCTAAAAAAACCCGGTAAATATGTGAACCACTGCTCTTGGTAGGGGGGGAAGCTCCCCTTTTCCATCTTCTGCTGGCCAGCACTTTTCAGTGTTACCAAAATTAACATCAGCGAGTGACATGTATAGAACACAGCATATTAACAGGCCAAACAAAGCTGTTCACAGTGGGAAAATAAATGACACCATGCAACAGTAAGCACAATAATTTGCAGACCATCATCAGCTCCAGCGTGAGTACAATCTCAAGATTTCCAAACTTGCAAAAAAATAAACGCAGCACTCCGACCCACGCCGTGGGTTTAAAGTATATTAGTTTTAAGACAGTTTTCAGGAACTTAACTAAGCATTCGGCGTTTAGAGATCGCAATGCAACCCTGCCAACTCACACACACATTTTGAAGTCATAAAAAGCCCAACGTACACAACCCACAGCAATTTACTGATTCACTTAATTTAAATGAATGAATAAGGTAAACCAACTGACCTAATACTGAATGAGTCATTTTCAGTGATGAACTGGAAGGGACTTGCAGGGACACGTATGAGCCTCTTGATAAATTTTGGGCTAAAAATGAACACAAAAAACAAATCATCTATTGTGTTACATCACAGCTGACACACTTAACATCTGTACCGCAGTTTACATTCACTTGGGTACTTCCAACAAACAAAAACATTGGAGGAAACTTCCCAGGTAAAAATCTAAAAAAAATAATACATCTGAAACATGTCTTATGGTATATAGCAGCAGCTTGGAGAAAGATGTCAAATTACTTTGTTTCACAGAATAAATATCATAAATGACATTTCACTGTACATTAAACATTCATTCTGATATACAGTGTGTCCACAAAGTCCCTTCGGGGTTTTGAAAAATTGTGGCGCGCAAACAGATTGAGCTAGCCACATGCGGTTTGCGGCAGATTACAGTGAAACTCTGGAAGATGGTGCTCCACCTCATTGGGGTCTGCAGGTACGCGAGTATCTAGACAGGGCATTTCCAGGTAGATGGATCGGCAGAGACGGTCCAATGCCTTGGTCTCCACGTTCCCCAGACATAACACCGCTGGATTTTTTTCCTGTGGGGTTGTGTCAAGAGCAATGTGTTCCGAACACCAGTTAACGGACTTGATGACCTGAAGACCCGTATCAGGAATACGATCTCGGCTATTCCAGCGGACATGCTCCACAGAACATGGCAAGAGCTCGAATATCGTCTGGACGTTCTCCGTGCTACCACGGGAGCCCACATCGAGGTCTACTGAGGTCAGTAAAAAACTTCCAGATTTTCACTGTAATCTGCTGCAAACCGCATGTGGCTAGCTCAATTTGTTTGCGCGCCGCAATTTTTCAAAACCCCGAAGGGACTTTGTGGACATACTGTAATATCCCCCACAGTTACGTATATGACGCTGGTAAAACATCACACCTAGGTCTGAAATCAGCACTATGCACTAAGATTTCTTGATGATATAATTAAAATTAAGAGAATGTATGAACTGAACATAAAATTGTTATCAAAGTAATTAAGTCTATCACAAATGGATAATAAACTTGAGTCTTACTGAAGATAACAAGATGGCAGTTCATAAAATACTTTATTATCCCGCCAAAAGTTGCTGCACGCACACACACAGTTTAAATTTGCAGGAGGAAATAGGAAATGAGTTTACCCACACCACAGGACCTTCATAAAAAAATTTCTGTTCATTACCGTCCAAACTCCCTCCAAATTCAAGGCACAGACAGACCTAATTACATCAAGAGACAACACTATAAAATCTTGGAGAATATTTGATACAATTTAATTTACAATGAAGTGAGCCAAAGCTGTGCGAGATATTAAAATATTTTCGACTAACACTTTTTGAAAGCAGATTCAAATTCCTAAGCAAGGCAAAGTTACGACATGCCCATAGTAGCACATGGAGCAGAAACTCGGATATGGACCAAGGCAGATATTAGCAGATTAACAGCAATGACAGAGTTTTAAGGCATACAAAGAGAAGGATACATTCCAGGAAGAATTAAGTACATAAAAGTAAAAGAAAAACAGGTTAGGAAAGACGTCGCACAGAAAGAAGGAATGCAGGACATCAGAAGAACCTGGGGAGAAGACATTGTGAGATGACGGAGCCGGACGTCAGGCAACCGATTTACTATTTCCATGTATATGGAAGAATAATAACAAATCTTTTAAATGTACCTAAAATAAAATATTCTTTGCATCAAATGCATTTAAATTAAATGGTCTCATAATATCAAATTATGGTAAAATTAAACTGAACAGCAAGACGTTAAGTAAAATTTTGTGCCTTCAGTACTGCATAACAAATTATTCCGATCAGATAAATTCCTGAATACTGTAACGGAAAAGCAGACATTAAAAATTTTTTATTTAAAAACAATCTTACATGACAAGTCGTACATATTTCAATATTCAAATTCCATATTACTCATAAAGCCACTATATATATATATATATATAATAAAAATAAAATTAGACCTTTATTTGGGGTTACTTTTAATCTAAAATAAACATTAGTAAACCATCAAAAATAAAATTATACTCCCACCACCAAACTCAATGCAAGCATTATAAATGAAGACAGCGTGAATTACAAAAATATCGAAAGATCAAACTCCATGCTCCGACTGGAAAATGCGTCAATGTTTTGAATTAATATATTCATTCACATTGTGGGCAGAACTCATTTTTACCACAATTTTATTTTCATGTCAGTAAATACAAAAAGTGACTAAAACTTGAAAATGAATTAATGTGTGCGACTGACATGGCTAAGAATCGGCGCAATGAGCCGAGTTGCACAGGTAACATGATAAATGGCTGTGATTCCTTAGTATGCAACAGTAATGTATGATAACTGATCCGCTGAAGCACAGCCCAGATAAATAACCAGTATTTGCCAGTCTTAACTGGTAACAACAGCTTTAAACTTGCTGGGTTCTCGTAACTAATACTTTAACGTTCTTAGTAGGATTTGAGGTTCTCAAGGCAGCGAGAACAAATATTGATATCTTGTGGGATGTATCACTATGCAATCTGGCACAAGTATACCAACGTTTCAGAGGTTCTTGCTGCCTCCATCATCAGAGTGATGACTCATCACCCTGACGATGGATAATCGTACGGGATTTCCATGATGAATATAACCGAATTCACTGCTTCCAGTTCATAACTGATTGTGTAAAAAATAATTTTTCATCTCACACATTTATTAAGATGATGACATGCGGGCCACACAAAAATGCCTTACGAACGAGATCAACAAGTCACGTAGGATTTCACATGACTACAAGTCCTGGCTGTGCTCTGGCAGAATTTATTTCTCTCAGCCCTTTCAAATAAGGGTTGAGACAGTTATCTTAAAATAGTCCACAAACTGCTTCCTCCTGCATCCCTGCCAGTTCATCACTCAGATTTGTTACAAACAATTTTAGATGGCTTACAGAGCCCTAAGGTTCATCACCGAATCAACCAAAGCCCTCCACCGGACCCTGTCCTGGGCCAACAAAATCCAGTCTCCTTCAACTCCTATCTCCCATAGATCCCGCCTGAGATTATCCTCCCATCTACGTCTAGGTCTCCCCAGGGGTCTCTTCCCCTCCGGCTTCCCGACCAATACCCAGTGCACCCCTCTTGTCCCATCCATGCGTGCCACATGCCCCGCCCATCTCATTCTTCTCGACTTAATCACCCTGGAAAGTCTAGAAAACAAGGATTTACATGCAGAACTCCTAAAGCGTACTTTTCTCTTATACAGACTTTGAGTTCTATAAATCTCGTGCTGATAATTCCACATTTACAACAAGAAAATGCAATGTAGCTCTAATAGATCAGATGCTGTAGATTGAAATTAACGAGATACTGGCGGTTTGTACAAAACATTTATACGAAGCATCAGGCAAGACAGGGCGAGCAATCTTCAAAATACAAACCGTGCAGCAGAAGACGCAAGCATAACGGCAATGTAAGTAAAAGGTGAATTACAGTCAGTATTATTACATTACTGAAATTAATGAAGTTGCGCTGGGGTGGACATGTAAGAGACAAGAAATGCACAGAAGGTTTTTTGGTTTTCATGGAGGTGAGTCTGAAGACGGCTGTCTTCAGGGTTGTAGCGCCATGTAGACTGATGGAGGTAGCAAGGACCTCTGAAACGTTGGTAAACTTCTATAAGACTACAAGGTGCTACAACCCAGAAGATCTTAAGAAATATATACAAAATTTTGGCAAGGAAACTTCTTGGGAGTGGTCACTTTGAAGACCTACAGGCAGGATAATAATTTTATGATCGATCTTGCGGAAATCTTGAGAGTATGAAGATGATGCAGATGGCGTGCGAAAGTGAGCCTTTGGTATTAATGTTGCTGAATTTTCAGGTTCCAGTACAAGACAGATGGTTAATGTATCAACACTCGACTGGATGAATCGTTCAGTATTTAGTGATGTGACTAAATAATAAATTCGGAAAGAAAACATATTCCAGATCCTTAGGTATGTATTGTCTTCTGATAACTTACCCTGCATCGTTCTGTGACGACGGCGATGGGGCTTCCTGTTTGAACACGGTTAGAGATGGCAGTGCAAGAAGGGCCTCGCTGGAACAAAAAGGCATACCACACACCTCAGATTTACCAACATTATGAAAGTTAGTAACCTGTCTGAAAATGTACAGTGGACTCCCAAATAACTGGGACAAATGGGGCAGTTAACATCTGGGGTTACATTTTCCGCTCAGGAAATAAATTAATAAATATACAAACAACAAACACGCACCATAAAGTGAATCACCAGTGGAACTGGTGTCGTCTGGGTTCAACCCCAAAATCTGATATAACTCTATTGTATAGAATAACTCTTGTTTTTCATGGTTTTCCTCAGCCCCTACAGTGCAGCCAAGTGGTTAGTCATCTTGCTTCATATTTGAGATATACTGGATACTGGGAACGACCCGTTCTTCAAGTGCCTGAGCACTGCGGGTCCCAACTTTTTCGTTGGCTCGATCTATAGACATTAGGTAGGACTCCTTGGACGAGGGATCGGCCCGTCGCAAGGCCTCTACCTGTACAAACACAGAAAGACGCGGACAAACATCCATGACCAAACCATATTTGAGATATACCGGGCTCAAATCTCAACCCAAAGACCGGCTACCCTCAGTTCTCCTGCGCATGTTGGGATAACACCTTAAATTAGGCCACGACCGTTCCTTCCACATCCTTTTCGTCATTTATTTACAATCCTATCATTCGATTCTATACAGTGTGAGCAACTCACAGTATCATTAAACAAATCACAAACCTCGGTCCCTCCTGGCAGATTCCTACATAAAACTTACTTCCTTCCATGTCCTTTGAAATTAATCATTAAAGATCATCCCATAATTTGGCTCTTACGACATATCAAGTTGAGAAACTGCTGTTGAAGAAACCAACAAACCATTCGCCCCATTAGAAGAAACTAGTCTGGGAGTATAATTTGTTATTGGTATGTTAATATAACCTCATTTTCAATTTTATATACATTTTTGTACTATTACCAGAATGAAGGTCAAGTCTGCTTGATCTATCTGCATCTGAATACTGATTATTTGCTGACAACAAAAATACATTCTTACGCACCTGTGAAAACTTTATCTGTTTTTATCGCCCACATGCAGATATCGTGGTATCAAGCCGAACACTACTGGTATGTTCACGATCAAACAATGCACAGCCACTCATCTCTGACATTGAAACAGAATACTTGCTGATAAGTAAACTAACGTAAGCGCTGGTTTGTTACAAAATCTCCAGTTGTACGATGCACTATATTACTGCAGAGTATTAAAGAAAATAAAAAAAGACTAATTTTCTGTCTCTGTCGTGTTTTACGATGCAGATAACCATTTTGAAGACCAGCGGTCAATATAAATCCCAACTCCTTCCACAATCAGTAACACTGCATTTGTATGTTTCGTATTATTCTCTGAGTAAACAGCGATTATTTCCTTAAACAGCGTTAACCAGTCGATCTTTGTAATGGTGAAGCGTGGTGTTTTCTTCGCGGTACGGACTGAAT